CCACTCCCACCCCCACACACAAGTGCGCTAACCACTGTACCACCACTCCCCACACACACACACAGTGCGCTTACCACTGCACCACCGCTCCCCACACACACACACAGTGCGCTAACCACTGCACCACCGCTCCCCACGTCCACCACAACCTGGTACCCGATGTATCAACCACCTCTGGCTGTGCTCACCGTGTGTGCACGTGACGAGGTGGTGGTGGAGGAGGAAGAGTAGGCCAAGTCTCGAGAAGAGTTCCCGCACCGCCATGACACCCACCTGGGACCCACGTGTTTCCGTTTCTCAAGTCACGTGGTGCAGAGAAATCCGATTCCCGGTTCGATTAACTCCACTTGCGTCGATTCTTAATGGGATAACATTAGGAATCGATTCTTGTAGTGGATTTACAGAGTCGATTTCTATTGGTATAACATGGGAATCGATTTATAGTTGATTAAGCTATTGGAATCGATTTCCGTTGAGATAACATGGGAATAGGCTATCGTGGGTGTGTGTTCATGTGTGTGTGTCTAAAGTCGATGTCTGTGTGTACTTGTGTGTGTGTGAGTCCATGTGTGTGTGTCTAAAGTCGATGTCTGTGTGTGTACGTTTATATGTGTGTGTGTAAGTCGATGTCTGTGTGTACTTGTGTGTGTGTGAGTCTATGTGTGTGTATCTAAAGTCGATGTCTGTGTGTGTGTACTTGTGTGTAAGTCGATGTCTGTGTGTACTTGTGTGTGTGAGAGTCCATGTGTGTGTATCTAAAGTCGATGTCTGTGTGTGTGTAAGTTTATATGTGTGTGTAAGTCGATGTCTGTGTGTACGTGTGTGTGTGAGTCCCTGTGTGTGTATGTAAAGTCGATGTCTGTGTGTGTAAGTTTGTATATGTGTGTAAGTCGATGTCTGTGTGTACTTGTGTGTGTGTGTAACTCCATGTGTGTGTATCTAAAGTCGATGTCTGTATGTGTGTAAGTTTATATGTGTGTGTAAGTTTAACACGTAGGCTTTCGCGACCAATGTTATTCATAATCAACGATTTTTGGGTTTAGATCGCGTTTATTTATAAATGTGTCGTAACCCTCCACCACCCGACACGGCCAATCAGTAAAAATGTGTCACGTTGACAAAGACAAATAGTTCACTGCTTTAGCCCACCGGTGTGTTGAAGCAACAACATTTACAATTTGAGTACGACGTTTCGCTGGTAATTGCAACCAGCATCATCGGGCAATTCGCCAGAATGGTGAGGCTCTCCTGTGTCTCCCGTTCTTATATAGAGCAGCAGCAGGGTGACGTCATCATTAACTCATTAACTCATCAGGTGCAAAGATTCAAGGGGGGGAGTGATTGTAATTATATACTAGATTAGTAATCAGGCTATTGTTACGATGCGAGTTGTAGATTAGTAATCATTTGGAATGTGTTTTATTGTGATTATGCTACATTAGTAATCAGTTAGTGGTTGTTTCCCTTATAAGTAATTGTCCCTTATAAGTGCGGCCTGGAAGCGTATTATTAAATAAGATACATTACAATTACTTATAAGGGAAACAACCACTAACTGATTACTAATGTAGCATAATCACAATAAAACACATTCCAAATGATTACTAATCTACAACTCGCATCGTAACAATAGCCTGATTACTAATCTAGTATATAATTACAATCACTCCCCCCCTTGAATCTTTGCACCTGATGAGTTAATGAGTTAATGATGACGTCACCCTGCTGCTGCTCTATATAAGAACGGGAGACACAGGAGAGCCTCACCATTCTGGCGAATTGCCCGATGATGCTGGTTGCAATTACCAGCGAAACGTCGTACTCAAATTGTAAATGTTGTTGCTTCAACACACCGGTGGGCTAAAGCAGTGAACTATTTGTCTTTGTCAACGTGACACATTTTTACTGATTGGCCGTGTCGGGTGGTGGAGGGTTACGACACATTTATAAATAAACGCGATCTAAACCCAAAAATCGTTGATTATGAAGTATGTGTGTGTAAGTCGATGTCTGTGTGTACGTGTGTGTGTGTGAGTCCATGTGTGTGTATGTAAAGTCGATGTCTGTGTGTGTAAGTTTGTATATGTGTGTAAGTCGATGTCTGTGTGTACGTGTGTGTGAGTGAGTCCATGTGTGTGTATGTAAAGTCGATGTCTGTGTGTGTAAGTTTATATTTGTGTGTAAGTCGATGTCTGTGTGTACTTGTGCGTGTGTGAGAGTCCATGTGTGTGTATCTAAAGTTGATGTCTGTGTGTACGTGTGTGTGAGTCCATGTGTGTGTATCTAAAGTCGATGTCTGTGTGTGTAAGTTTGTATGTGTGTGTAAGTTGATGTCTGTGTGTACTTGTGTGTGTGTGAGTCCATGTGTGTGTATGTAAAGTCGATGTCTGCGTGTGTAAGTTTGTATATGTGTGTAAGTCGATGTCTGTGTGTACTTGTGTGTGTGTGTAACTCCAGGTGTGTGTGTCTAAAGTCGATGTCTGTGTGTGTACGTTTATATGTGTGTGTAAGTCGATGTCTGTGTGTACTTGTGTGTGTGTGTGTGTGAGTCCATGTGTTTGTGTCTAAAGTCGATGTCTGTGTGTGTACGTTTATATGTGTGTGTAAGTCGATGTCTGTGTGTACTTGTGTGTGTGAGAGTCCATGTGTGTGTATCTAAAGTCGATGTCTGTGTGTGTGTACTTGTGTGTAAGTCGATGTCTGTGTGTACGTGTGTGTGTGTGAGTCCCTGTGTGTGTATGTAAAGTCGATGTCTGTGTGTGTAAGTTTGTATATGTGTGTAAGTCGATGTCGGTGTGTACTTGTTTGTGTATCTAAAGTCGATGTCTGTGTGTGTGTGTAAGTTGATGTCTGTGTGTACTTGTGTGTGTGTGTGAGTCCATGTGTGTGTGTCTAAAGTCGATGTCTGTGTGTGTACGTTTATATGTGTGTGTAAGTCGATGTCTGTGTGTACTTGTGTGTGTGTGTGTGAGTCCATGTGTTTGTGTCTAAAGTCGATGTCTGTGTGTGTACGTTTATATGTGTGTGTAAGTCGATGTCTGTGTGTACTTGTGTGTGTGTGTGTGAGTCCATGTGTTTGTGTCTAAAGTCGATGTCTGTGTGTGTACGTTTATATGTGTGTGTAAGTCGATGTCTGTGTGTACTTGTGTGTGTGAGAGTCCATGTGTGTGTATCTAAAGTCGATGTCTGTGTGTGTGTACTTGTGTGTAAGTCGATGTCTGTGTGTACGTGTGTGTGTGTGAGTCCCTGTGTGTGTATGTAAAGTCGATGTCTGTGTGTGTAAGTTTGTATATGTGTGTAAGTCGATGTCGGTGTGTACTTGTTTGTGTATCTAAAGTCGATGTCTGTGTGTGTGTGTGTAAGTTGATGTCTGTGTGTACTTGTGTGTGTGTGTGAGTCCATGTGTGTGTATCTAAAGGCGATGTCTGTAAGTTTATATGTGTGTGTAAGTCGATGTCTGTGTGTACTTGTGTGTGCACATCTTGCACGTGGGTGGAATCTGCAATATCACGCGATTTGGGACGATTTTTGACCCCCCCCCCCCTTCGTCACACGACGTCATAAAAAGTCAGACCCCCCCCTCATATATGACGTCACAAAGCTCTGCCCCCCCCCCCAAAAAAAAACATGCTTAAAATCGCTTTAAACAATTGTTGTCATTGTAGTGCGTGTTTAATGTGGCGCTGCACTCTGATGTTGTAGGAGAAAACATTTATTACAAAGTCTATTTAACTAAGTAGAACGCGTTGTCTATATTTATTTAAAAAGTTGCGCATTTTGATGTGACGTCACATTTCTCAACCCCCTCCCCTCGTCACACATCGTCACAAATGTCTGACCCCCCCCCCCCAGGTGCGTGACGTCATCTATGGACGGCCCCTAATTGAACTGACCAAAGGCCACGTGCGTCGGCAGTGGCGGCAGCTTCACGACTCGTGCCGGCTATAGGGCCGTCCATAAATGACGTCACGCACCTGGGGGGGGGGGGGGGGTCAGACATTTGTGACGATGTGTGACGACGGTGGGGGGGGTTTGAGAAACTTTCAATAAATATAGACGACACGTTCTCCTTAATTAAATAGACTTTTAAATAAATGTTTTCTCCTACAACATCAGAGTGACACGCCACATTAAACACGCACTACAATGACCATAGTCTAAAGCGATTTGAAGCGTGGGGTTTGTTTGTTTGGGGGGGGTGGGGCAGAGCTTTGTGACGTCATATTTGAGGGGGGGGGGTCTGACTTTTTGTGACGTCGTGTGACGAAGGGGGGGGGGTCTAAAATCGTCCAAAATCGCGTGACGTCATTTATGGACGGCCCCAAACACGGAGCAACAGCAGCAGCAGCAGCTGTGCAAGGCGACACGCGCAGCGCGCGCACTGCAGGGGCAGGTGACGTCACCAACTTGCACTGTCGGGTCTGACGCATTTTAACCCCCCCACCCTCCATGCCCCCCCCCCCACAAACCCCCCCACCCCCCACCTGCCCCCTCCCCTGCCCCCTCCACCCTCCATGCCCCCCCCCCCACAAACCCCCCCACCCCCCACCTGCCCCCTCCCCTGCCCCCTCCACCCTCCATGCCCCCCCCCCCACAACCCCCCACCTGCCCCCTGCCCCCTGCCCCCTCCCCTGCCCCCACCACCCTCCATGCCCCCCCCCCACAAACCCCCCCACCCCCCACCGCTCCCCTGCCCCCCCTACCCCCCTCCCCTGCCCCCTCCACCCTCCATGCCCCCCCACCCCCCACCTGCCCCCTGCCCCCTCCCCTGCCCCCTCCACCCTCCATGCCCCCCCACACCCGTCCAAGCCAAGCGAGCTCCTTGATTGGTCTTCGGTGACGTCAACAAACCGCCAACTCCAACCGCCACCCGCCTGTTGCGACGGGTTCAGCAGCCCCGCCCCCATCCCTCGACGCGCGGGCCGCCTCATTAACATAATTTATTCAGTTGCGGGTCGCTCGTTGTGGGAGGAGCGTGGCTTGTAACCCGGAAGTGACGTCATGTCACCTGCTGCTGCCGCGTGACGTCACGAGGTTACAGGAAGCTGCTGCTGCTCTCCGTGCTTACTGAAATCCGAGGTGAGAAATTCTCATCGTCGTGGTTGTTATTGTGGTTGTTGTTGTTGTGGTTGTTGTTGCTGTGTACCAAGGTAGAGCCTCGCTGTTTCTCTCTCTCAGGGATGTCAACTGAGTAGCAGCGAGTGTTGGAATCGATGTCCAGATTGGAACTTTGCCCCGCGGGGCCTTGCCTCCTGCCCTCGCCTGATGGCGTTCAAGTTTAATTATCTCGCTCAAGATAAATTTGTCTTCACGCGGCTCGCTACTCTGTAACTTTGGTTTATTGTAGATATTAACGCAGTTTTTTTTCGTGTTTTTTATCAGCCCAAGCCCGCTTGAGCTGCTATACCGCTCTCGTTTTCAGAAGCGACCTGCCAACAACAACAAGGCGAGGCTTGTCAACACGTGGCGCTGTTCACTCTGGACGCGGCACCGCGAGTCGGTGTCTGTGGGTCACAGGCGCTCAGCGCCGCGTGCCGCTGTTCACTCTGAACGAGTGGAGGGGGGCACCGCGGGGGGGGGGGGGCAGGAGGTAAATCGACGCCGCCGCCACGGGGAGAGGGAGAGACACGGGGAGCGCCTCGGCTGTGTCGGTTGATCCTCCATTCGTTACTCGGTGGAGTGACGCAGCATTAATGTCACCGCTAGAAACCTCCTGGTTCCACCAGCCCACAGGGGATTATTGTGTCCGTCCGTCCGTCGTGCATCCAGAAATGGGTGGGGAGGGGCTGGGTGGAGAGGGGAGGGTGGGGTGGGGCTGGTCACCCCGTGGTGCCCTTATAAAACTCAACGTTTCACCTACTCACGCCGGCTTGTGCCCGCCCTCACAGTCGGGCATATTTGCGGAATACACCACGCCGCCGTTGACCCTGCAGGCCATTGACCGAGCAACCCAACGTGTTCCTAGCAGCTCCCTCCGCAGCAGGAATGTGTTCTGATAGTGCGGACTGCCGCATTGTGTTTCACACGACACAGGATTGACGACGGGAGGAGAAGGGCACGGTGGGTTCACGGCTCCACAAGCGGCAGCAGCAGCAGCACCAACAGCAGCAGCAGCAACAGCAGCTGCAAGCAGCAGCGAGAACTTGCCGGCCACATGTCGCTGCGATGTGTCGCGTTGCTGTTGCTCGTCTCCGTCTCCTTCCAAGGTGATGATCACCGCCGCCGTGAACATCGGCAGCATCCAGCAGCATCCCCCCCCCCCACCTCATCCGATCGTGGTTCGGCTTCACCGTGTGAATCGTTGTCTGTAGACGCGGAAGATTCGTGGCACCCCACACACGCGAATTGGTGCTGTACGATGGGGAGTCTTTCTTTAAAAAAAGAGTCGCGATTTGCTGAGTGCTGATTTGCTGAGTGCGACGGGCGATGCCTCGTTGGTTCCTGCACGACGGTGGATTCCATCGTATAAGTCGTCATCTAGCCTCGTTTACTGTACACTTCACTACTACACTACACTATACACTACACTACTATACACTACACTACTATACACTACTATATACTACACTATACACTACACTATACACTACACTATACACTACACTACTATACACTACACTACGATACACTACAGTAACATACTCTGCACTAATATATACTGCTGCACAATACATTATACACTACACTACTATCCTCTAAACTACAGTACTATAAACTACACTATACACTACATACACTACTATACACTACACTACTATACACTACACTATACACTACACTATACACTACACTAGCAGTCTGCAGCGTGACTTGCGTGCGATGACCGTCATCGCCGCAGGCGTCGAAGCGGCGATCTCCGTGGCGGTGACCCCGCTGGTGGAGGTGGAGCTGGGAAGTCCGCTGGTGATCCCCTGCACGGTCACCAGCTCCGTGGGCGAGGAGGTGGTCACCCAGTGGTTCATCGTGAGTAGCGCCACCCCCACCCCCCACCCACACGCACACCGCCGCTTGTCACGCTCGGATACGTACGTCGTATGCCCTGCCCAGAGACTCAGCACTGTTACCCATAGACTCAGCACTGTTACACGTAGACTCAGCACTGTTACACATAGACTCAACACTGCACCATAGACTCAGCACTGTTACACGTAGACTCAGCACTGTTACACGTAGACTCAGCACTGTTACACATAGACTCAACACTGTTACCCATAGACTCAAGACTCAACACTGCCACCCATAGACTCAACACTGCACCATAGACTCAACACTGCCACCCATAGACTCAACACTGCACCATAGACTCAACACTGCCACCCATAGACTCAACACTGCACCATAGACTCAACACTGCCACCCATAGACTCAACACTGCTACCCATAGACTCCAACCCCCCCCCCCGGCACAGATTTCACAATCTTCGCGAACGAGGATCTCGTACCGCGACGCGCGACTCTTCGTGGCGGACTTGGGCACCGGCTACGAGAGTCGCATCGACGCTCGCCGCAGCGACTCCGCGCTGGCGCTGAACGCGACGGAGACCGCTGACGAGCGCGACTTCGTCTGCCAGGTGGTGGCGGGGCGCGCCAGCGTGGCCGAAGCCACTGCAAGCGTGCGGGTGTTTTGTAAGCGAGCGCCACGGGGGGGCCACTTGCTACCGTACTCTTAGGTGGTTTTTGTTCGGTAAAGTCGCGTGGGTAAAAAATTTAAATTAATAAAAGTAAAATAAAAATAAAATAAAAATCACGAAGTTTCGGAGGCAACACAAGACTCCGTCTTCAGGTGGACTCTGTCACAGCACTATACACTACTATACACTACACTATACACTGCACTATTATACACTATACACTAATATACACTACACTATACACTAATATACACTTCACTATTATACACTATACACTACACACTACCACACGACGTTTCGGAGGTAAGTTGGACTCGCCAGCACGTAACGGCCCTCCCCCCGTGTCCCCCTCCCCCCTCCCCCCGTGTCCCTCCCAGCGGCCCCCACGGTGGCCGTGACGGCGAGCCAGAGGCCCGTGCTGCTCAAGCCCCAGCACCACCACAAGGTGAGCAGCCCGCGGCCTGCGCGGACATTCTTCTAGTTCACACTCCGGCCTGTCGCTCCCTCTCCTGACGGCAGAGGTCGCAATCGGGTACCCGATATCCGTACCCTACCCCATACCCGGCTACCCGTACCCGGCCGGGTACGGGTAGCCGTTTGCGACCCTGGTGCGGCCGGGTACGGGTAGACCGTGAGTCACTGGTGAGTCACCGTTTGTCACTCATTTCCCAACGTCTTGTCTCTTCTCACAATTCAAGTTCCTAGAATCAACCCACCCGCGCCTGCAACATGGCTTCATCCCAGAGGTCGCAATCGGGTACCCGATACCCGTACCCTACCCGTATCCGGCCGGGTAGGGTACGGGTAGGGTACGGGTAGGGTACGGGTAGGGTACCCATTTGCGACCCTGGTGCGGCCAGGTAGGGTACGGGTACGAGGGGTAAGGAATCAAAACCCGTTTGCGACCTCTGCCTAACGGTCACCTAGGGGTGGTTTTGTTACCTTAATGGCGGTGCTGTAGACGCCACCGATTCGTGATTCTAACGTGGTTTAGTTTTAGTTTGGAGATGTTGACTACCTCGCCTGGTGCACAGGAGGTCGTGGGTTCGTATATAGTAGTGTAGTGTATAGTGTATAGTAGTGTTGTGTATAGTGTAGTGTATAGTAGTGTAGTGTATAGTAAGTGTAGTGTAGTGTATAGTGTAGTGTATAGTGTAGTGTGTAGTATTGTAGTGTATAGTATAGTAGTTGTATAGTATAGTAGTTGTATAGTAGTGTACTGTATAGTAGTGTATAGTAGAGTAGTGTAGTATATTAGTGTATAGTAGTGTATAGTGTAGTGTGTAGTATAGTAGTGTAGTGTATAGTGTAGTGTGTAGTATAGTAGTGTATAGTAGTGTAGTGTATAGTGTAGTGTGTAGTATAGTAGTGTAGTGTATAGTGTAGTGTGTAGTATAGTAGTGTATAGTAGTGTAGTGTAGTAGTGTAGTATAGTAGTGTATAGTAGTGTATAGTATATTATTTTATAGTATAGTAGTGTATAGTGTAGTAGTGTATAGTATATTATTTTATAGTAGAGTGGTGTATAGTATATTAGTGTATATTAGTGTATATTATAGTAGTGTACCACACCCGGCTGCATTTGTCTCCCTCGTTGCGATGTGTACACATCGCACCAGGTATTCCTTTGAGGCTGAGTCAACCTAGGGGAGGCTCAGAACCGGTTCAGATAATCGTCACTGATGTTGGCCGTGAGTGGGAATCGAACTTGGGTCGCCAGGTTTCGTGGCGCGACGCGCTAACCGGTTCTGTGCCTCCCCTAGGTCGACTCAGCCTCAAATAAATACCTGGTGCAGTGCAGTAAAAACATCGCCACTGGGGAGACAAAGGCGGCCGGGCGTGGTGCTGGCCACCCACCCCCTCGTGTGCCGTTCCGGCCTTCATAGGTGCTACTCGCTAACAGCACTTGCCCCTACAGTCTGTTAAGACTACACGGGGGATCTTTGTTGCGTGTGTTGGTCTGTTTCCCTCTCTTGCAGATCGGTGAATGTTACGTGCGCAACGCTTACCCAGAGCCCCTCGTCACGTGGTACAAGGATTCCCTGCCCCTGTGGCCATCACCTGGTAAGTGGATCTGCCGGTGAATGTATCTGTTGGTGAATGTGTCTATTGGTGAATGTATCTGTTGGTGAATGTATCTGTTGGTGAATGTATCTGCTGGTGAATGTATCTGTTGGTGAATATGTCTGCGATAGTGTAGTGTATAGTGTAATGTATAGTAGTGTATAGTGTCGTATATAGTGTAGTGTATAGTAGTTTAGTGTATAGTTTAGTGTATAGTGTAGTGTATAGTGTAGTGTATAGTGTAGTGTATAGTAGTTTAGTGTATAGTGTATTGTATAGTGTAGTGTATAGTGTAGTGTATAGTGTAGTGTACACTGCTACGTGGTGCAGGGAGTAAACATCGCCACTGCTGAGACAAAGCCGGCAGGGCGTGGTGTGCCACCGTGACGGGCTGCCACTCGCCAACAGCACTTGCCCCTACAGCCTGTTAAGGCCACGCGGGGGACCTTTGTCTGTGTGCGTGCGCCGCTAGACGTGAAAGTGACGGGGACGGTGGCGACGGAGTCCGACGGCACCTTCGCCGTGACGTCCGCCCTGAGCTACCAGCTGCAGAGGTGGGACGTGGGAGCCGGGTACCGCTGCGTGGTCAACTACACCGTGCCGGGCGGCAGGAGCGAGGCCGTTGCCTCGGAGACGATCTACGTGACGGTGCATTGTGAGTACGGGCGGGACGCAGCAGACACAGCAGGCGTACACACCAGACACAACAGGCGTACACAGCAGGCACAACAGGCGTACACAACAGACACAACAGGTGTACACAGCAGACACAGCAGACGTACACACCAGACACTACAGGCGTACACAGCAGACACAACAGGCGTACACAGCAGGCACAACAGGTGTACACAGCAGACACAACAGGCGTACACACCAGACAGCCTGGACCACGTGGTACAGCCTGTACCACGTGGTCCAGGCTGCCACGTGGTCCAGGCTGCCACGTGGTCCAGGCTGCCACGTGGCTGTGTGTCTCTCTCTCTGTCCCTCTCACGCTGCCTGTCAGCAGTGTGAAGGAAAGCTGTAATGCAAGTTGAATAAAAGACCGGATTCCAGAAGTCGCTACACTTGCATAACAAAAAGACATCATTAGACCTTCTTTGCCAGTACCAAAATGTATTACTAAAAGGGGTTTTTTCCAATTTTTTCTGGCAACAAGACTGAACCCTTTCTACGAGGATTCGTGTAACTGCATTCACCACAATGCTTGCGGTCAAAATGTAAACAAAACACACTCTGTGATAACACTGGTCAACACACTTTGTCTGGCATAAGGTATTCAAACGGTGTTAAGGTCATTTTGGGGTGCCGATTCCAAATCTGGCATCAGTTTTTGTCTATCACATCAGGTTTTTGAGGTATCAAATATTGCATTTTCATAAAAAAAACAGCAAATTTATGCTCATATACGAATAGCTAAACAGACATCTATACAATAATACGATAAGATACAATATACAATAATAATGAAACAAACATTTAATGAGCCGTAGCACAAAGTTGTGTGAGTGACTGCATGCTAATGTGAGTGAATGCATATTACCGTGTAAGAATTTAATTGTGAAGATAAGAAAAATATGCACTGAAAGGTCATTCACAATAGTGATGCTGCATCTGCATCAACGACCTCTTCTTTGACGATCTCCGATGTACAGCTTGTGGAATCGCTCATCAAGGACCAGCAGTAATCTGCCATCAGTTTCAAGGACAATGTCAATATATTATAATATGTTTTAATATATTGACATTGTCCTTGAAACTGATTGGTCCACACCAAGGGACGGCTTTCTTTTGAGCCTCAGCGGTAATTGACGACGATGATGATGATTGTTATCGATGGCGAGTGACATTGTTATTGATGATGAGGACGATGATTTACGATGACGAGTGGCATTGTTATTGATGATGATGATGATGATGATTTACGATGACGAGTGGCATTGTTATTGATGATGATGATGATGATGATTTACGATGACGAGTGGCACGGTGAATGTCTGCGGGCGGTGGGGGATGTGTAGATCCACCCAGGAGGGTGGCCCTCATCCTGGAGTCTCCACGCGCGGCCGTGATGGAGGGCGACACGGTCGTGCTGAGGTGCCGTGCTGATGGATTCCCCCCTCCCGAGGTCGACTTCTACATGGTGAGGAGGCGGCGATGATGATGACGATGACGACGATGATGATGATGATGACGATGATGACGATAACGACGATGATGATGACGATGATGATGACGATGATGACGACGACGATGATGATGATGATGACGATGATGATGACGATGATGATGATGATGACAATTATGATGACGATGATGATGATGACGATGATGATGACGACGATGATGACGATGATGATGACGATGACGATGATGATGACGACGATGATGACGATGATGACGATGATGATGATGACAATTATGATGACGATGATGATGACGATGATGACGATGATGACGATGATGACGACGATGATGATGATGATGACGATGACGATGATGATGACGATGACGATGACGATGATGATGACGATGATGACGATGACGACGATGACGACGATGACGACGATGTTGACGATGATGACGATGATGACGATGATGACGACGATGACGACGATGATGATGATGATGACGACGATGGCGATGATGATGATGACGATGATGATGACGACAATGATGGCGACGATGATGATGATGATGACAACGACGATGATGCTCCCCCCGCTCCCCCCGCCCGTCAGAGCTCCCCGACGCGGGTGGACTACGGCCACGCGACTGCGGGGGACGCGCTCACCCTGCCCGCCGTCACCCGCGGCCACAGCGGCACCTACGGCTGCCGCGTCCGTAGCGGCAACGGGGTCCATGGCCGTCTCAGCGGCAGCGTCGACCTCCTGGTGCACTGTGAGCGGCGGGGGGGGGGGGGGTGACGGGAGGGAGGGGAGGGTCAAGAGGGAGGGAGGGAGGGAGGGGAGGGTCAAGAAGGAGGGGGAGGGAGGGAGGGAGGAGGGGGAGGGAGGGAGACTTTGTGGGGAGGAGGAGGAGTTGGAGACGCTACGAAGGAGAGTGACCGTCTCGGAGTTTGTCGAGCGGATTTCTTTAAGATGCCGACTCTCCCGGGACGGGAACGGCGCGTCGTGCATTCGCATGATTCTTCTTGGCGTCTTTTTCGGTGTAAAGCTTCTTTCGTGACTGCAGCAGGGATTCATCTTCTTTGGTTCTTTCGGTAAAGTCATCACGTAGAAGGGAAGTAATAAAGTAAGAAAAATAAAACATTATAAAATACAATTCTCACGACGTTTCGGCCACAACGAAAGCAGCCGTCCTCAGGTGAAGAACAGGGATGTCAGAAAGACAGCGTCATTCACTTCATCATCATCAACATCATCAACATCATCAACAACATCATCATCATTAACATTAATAATCAACATCATCATCAACATCATCTTCAAAATCATCATCATCAACATCATCATCTACATCTTTGTTTTTTCGATTTAAAGCTTTCGTGACTGCAGGGATTCATCTTCTTGGTTATTTCGGTAAAGTCACGTAGAAGGGAAATAATAAAACAATTAAAATAAGACATAATACAATAAAATTCTCCCGACGTTTCGGCCACAACGCAAGCAGCCGTCCTCAGGTTGTGGCAGAAACGTCGTGAGAATTTTATTGTATTTTGTTTTATTTTTATTATTTTATTACTTCCCTTCTACGTGACTTTACCGAAAGAACCAAGAAGATTCTCGTCGTTGTTGTTGTCATCGTCGTTGTCGTTGTTGTCGTTGTTGTTGTGATTGCGAGCGAACGTCGCCGCTTGGCCCGGAGTGACTCAGTACGTGTCTCCTCCCCGCCAGACGCGCACCACCACGGGGAGCCCAGCTCCACCGTCGCGGCGACGACGCGGCTCCCGGCGGGCGCCGTCGTGCAGGTGAGACGCTCCTCGTCCTCCTCGTTGTTGTTGTTGTCGTCGTGCGCCGGGAGAGGCTCCTCCTCCTTGTTGTTATTGTTGTTGTTGTTGCCGTCGTGCGCCGGGAGAGGCTCCCACAGGTGGGCAGCAGTGCCCCGTCAGGTAACGGTGTCGGTCTTGTTGGCAGATAGAAGGGTCAAAAAACAATTATCATGTTTTTTCTTCTGACAAATGAGGTTCCAATGGTGTAAATGCTTCACCCCGAGCTCTCATACTATGATGGTGCATTGTCTTTGAGTTGTGCGCCTTTTGGCGTCATCTGGTCCAACCCATGTGAGACTAGGCTCTAAGGAAAGCTGTCTCGGGTGTTGACCAATCAACTTAAAGGGCCATGTGAGACTAGGCTCTAAGGAAAGCTGTCTCGGATGTGGACCAATCAACTTTAAGGACAGTGCACATTATCAGAGTTGTGTTTTTTGTTTGCATTACGACCGCAGGTATCGTGGTCAATGCAAACATGACTCCTCGTAAAAAAGATGTCAGTTTTGTTGCCAGATAGAAGGGTAAAAAATCAATTATCATACCCCGTCAGTGTCACCATCACCCCACCGTAACCCCCCCACCACCCCCACCAACCCCCCCACCCCCTCCACCCCCACAACCCCCACCGTGACCCCACCGTGACCCCACCGTGACCCCACTGTGACCCCACCGCCCGAGTTGGATTCCCGCTCGCAGCCAACAGCAGTGATAGCGATTATCTGAACCGCTCCTTGGCCTCCCCTAGGTCTACTCAGCCTCTAATTAGTACCAGTGTAATAAAAGGACTCAGACACTTCTCTCTCTGCTTCGTGTCCTTTATTGGGTCCTTGTCTTCTCCCACACGGCACTCTGTTATAACACTGTATTTGTAGCCCCCGGCTGTTATCGCTATTATAGCTTCCTTTCTCTCCCCGCAGACTCTCTGCTTCGTCTACTGTAACCTCCGTTCTCTCCCTGCAGACTCGCTGCTGACTCCCTATGCAGACCCCCGCTGCTAACCCTATATGCAGACCCTCTTGGCTGCTACTCTGTATGCAGACCCGCTGCTAACTCTGTATGCAGCCCCGCTGCTGACTGCAGCCTCCTCGCTGCTTCGGGTCGGTCACCGCTGGCCAACGGTGCCGATCCTCGCTCCCCTGTGTTCGTGGCGATCTCGCCACCCTCCGCTTCGCCCTTCGTGGCCTCTCTCGTTCCTGGTCCCCCGTCACTCCCCTCTCCTCTTCCGGTTCCCCTCCTTCTATAGCTTAACCCCTCTCCCCCCACGTGACCTAACTCCTCCCCTCATGACGTCACCTCCGGAGGGCCGTTTACGCCCGCATTACATCACCCTCCCCCATAAAGAAAATCCAGCCGACCTCGGCTGAAATGCAACTTGACAAGCAATGCGGGTGTAAAGGACCAACACGTAAAAAGACACGAAGCATGCAACAACAATATAACAAGAACACAACACAACACAATTTAACGAAACGTGAGGGATTTCGAGCGAGTACGGGTAGCCGGGCCGTCCTGGACGGTCGGCAGCCCACCCGCCGAGCGGGAACGTGGCAGGGTTTTAAGGGCGACGGGAGCGAGTTCATCCGTCGCCATTGGAGGCCCGCCACTGTCCCGGTCGCGTCCAGAGACATCCCGTAATCGCGTCCGCGGAGGGATAGGAAGAGCTGCAGGTTCCGTAGGTTCTGCGGCTCCGGTCGGCATCCCACGAGCGGAACGTCCTTCTTCCTGCGGCGTCACGGCCGGCTTGTCTGTGAAGGGTACGACAGGCGCTCTCGCAAGGTCAGCAGGCACAGGCAAGGGCGAGTCGGTAGCAACAGACCCCGGCAAGGCAACTTCGGGAGATGACGCATCCGGCCGCGGGGCAATGTATGGCTTCAACCGGGATGTATGCACGAACCAGCGCCGCGAACCAACCCGAACACGCGCCGACTGTGGGTTGGGAACCTCAATGAGGCGGACCGGACCTTGCCATGGTTTATGTAATTTAGGAGAGGTACCTGGCCGCACCTGTGGGCAATGAAGCCAGGCCAGGTCCCCCGTTTTCCAGGGGCACTCCCCCTTCGAACGTCGGGCACACCGCTCATTCCTGGCCTGGGCTTTGGCCGTAGCCATGCGGGCTCTTTCCCTCGCCTCAGTGACACGGCGAACGTTGTCCTGAATATACTCAGGAAGAGGCTTAACAGGTCCCCTCGCACCGGTTCCCAACTGCTCATTAATCGGCGGCACATTTTCACGGCCGTACATAAGAAAGAACGGCGAGTATCCAGTAGCCGCGTGCGGCGTCATGCGATACGCCGAAAGCACCCCAGGGATATGCAGATCCCAATCAGATTGATTTTCCCCGACTGTATGGCACAGCATGGCGGACAGAGTCCGATTCAACCGCTCCACCATACCATCCGTTTGTGGGTGGTAGGGGGACGTCCGTATCTTTTTAGTTCCAAGAGCCGCACACACCTCCCCCAACAATTTGGACGAAAAGTTACGCCCTTGATCTGTAAGGAGCCTCTCCGGCGCCCCCTTGTCCATTACATACCCAAATAGAAAGGCGTCAGTGATAGACGCCGCTGACTGGTCAGGCAAAGGCCAGGCCATCGGCCAGCGGGAGAGGTACTCCACCCCCACCAGTAAATACTTATTTCCCTTAGCGGACGGCGGAAAGGGTCCCAAAATATCTAACGCCACCAGCTCATTAACCCGAGATACTTGAATCGATTGTATTGGCGGAACATATGGATGTTTAGGCGGCTTACGGCGGGCACAATCGGGACACGCGCGAACGTGACCGACGACATCTGTCGTCATGCCGTGCCAATAATAGTCTCGCTGCAGCGTCAATAGGGTTTTCTGCACCCCCAGATGTAAAAGTGTGTCACAGTGCAAAGATCTAATCAATTCGTACCGCAATGACGCAGGTACAACGAGACGCCAGTGTTCCTGTATCCCTTCCCTCCACATCAGCAACCCATCTCGGAGAGCAGTTTCCGGAATACCACCCGCACCGAGTTCCTTACCCGCCTTCTCCGTTCGTTTTCGTAACGACACAAAAGATTCGTCCAACATTTGCTCCCGAATCCACACAGACCTCGGAAGACGCAAAATCCCATCAGCCGGTCCCCCATCAACCGGTCCCGGTGTAAGCGGAGTTTCAAGAACATCCACCGCCAGCGTGACAGGCTGAGGGGGGAGCTGAATCGGTCCACACCTATGCGTCCCCGACGCACACGCACAAGGGGATTGTTGCGGCAACCTGGAAAGTGCGTCCGCGTTAGCGTGACGCACACCCTTCCGATGATGAATTTGGAAGGAAAATTCTTGCAGCGTGTCCAGCCACCTCGCCAATTGTCCGGATGGCTGGTCCATCTTAAGAGCATACTGCAAGGCCGCATGGTCCGTGCGGACAATAAACGAGCGACCGTACAGATACGGTCGAAATTGGCGGAGAAAAAAAACAATGGCCAAAAGTTCCCTGCGAGTGACGCAGTAACGGGTTTCCGCGGGAGACAAAACTCGACTCCCATACGCCACCACACGCTCAACTCCACCTTTCGACTGGGACAATACCGCCCCAATACCAGTATCACTTGCATCAGTATCCAGAATGAAGGGATGTTCAAAATCCGGATAATCCAACGTCGGTGCAGTAGCCAGTAAATCGCGCAGGCTCCGAAACGCCGCCTCCTCCGGCGGTCCCCACACAAATTTATGCCCCTTCCCAGTAAGGAGATGCAAAGGCCTGGCGATAGTAGCAAAATTCGGAACAAACCTCCGATAATATGAGGCGAACCCCAAAAACCGACGCACATCACCCACCGTGGCCGGGGTTGCCCAATCACGGACACACGCAGTTTTCTCTGGATCCGTGGCCACCCCGTCCGCACTAACAATATGTCCCAAGTATCGAACGGAGCGTTGCAGTAGGTGACATTTCTTAGGCTTGAATTTCAAATTAGCAGAACGCATTCTGGTGAATACAGCCTCCAACCGCAGTAAATGCTCATCAAATGTGCGGCTGAAGACAATAATATCATCTAAATAAATGAGACATGTCTCCCACTGCAACCCCGTCAATACCAACTCCATCAACCTCTGAAAAGTGGCAGGGGCCGCATTCAACCCCATCGGAAGACAGTTAAATTGGAATAACCCCTGCGGCGTACGGAAAGCTGTCTTTTCTCGCGAGGGCTCGTCAAGGGGGAGCTGCCAGAAGCCCGAAGAGAGATCTAGCGTTGAAAAAAACTTAGCCCCTGACAAGGCGTCGAGAGAATCGTCCATACGCGGCAGGGGATACGCATCTGCCACCGACACTTTATTCAACTTCCGAAAATCCACACAAAATCGCAATTTACCATCCTTCTTTTTAACCAACACAACAGGCGCGCCCCACGGGCTATTAGACGGAGATATAATATCCGCTTTCAACATGTCATCCACTGCCCCTCGAACATGCTCACGCTCAGCCGGACTCATCCGACGCGAGTTCAAGCGGATAGGGGCAGCGTCCCCTGTGTCGATATGATGATAAAGCAGCGAGGTGCGTCCCAAGTCCAAATCGTCCGAGCTAAACACATCCGAATAACTCGATAATAATTTATGAATCGCACAACGCTGCTCGGCGGAAAGGGCCGAATTTTCCCCACATAATTCAGCGATCCAACGATCATCCACCCCTCCATCGTGTGAAACACCACCCACCAGCCCTCCGTCCGGCAGATCACTCTGAGCCGTAAACGCCGTAGTGGCATGTGCCACAACGGTACCAGCCGGCACACACACGCTTTCAGTACTCGCATTTAACACCTGCAAAAACGGGCGCTGATCTGGACGGACAATAGTTTGCGCCCCCACCAGCGCCAATCCGCCCGTAACAGCGGCGGACGGCGACAGCAAAATCCCAAAAGCACCCTGCCGACCCGGAACCGGCTTCCGATATCGTAAGGGAATGAGCATCTGCGAGCCAGGTGGAATATCAACCGAAACTTCCGATAACGCCTGCACCTGGGCGACAGGAGCCGGTCGCCCCCAGGCGGACTGTAAAAATGCCAATTTCCGGCCCCCCGGTAGTTCAATGCAATTTTCATTGATTCGAATTAGAATGGGCATCTTAGCCAAAAAATCAGTACCCAACAGGCAAGGAACCGCCAGGGACCTCGAAATTAACACAACGCCCGAGGCCGAGACTCCCCCGATAGAAATGTTAGCGTCCATCTGTCCCACGATGCCCATACTACCCCCGTTCGCAGCGATGCAGGAAGCGTAAGCCGGCCTCACGGCCCCCGGTGGGATGTTCAAAAGATGGAATATCACATCCGAAATAATGGTCGCGGACGCACCGGAATCCACCAAAATGCGTACGTCCACCCCTTGGATCGACCCAGGTACAGTGGACGAACCGGTAGCGGCCGCGACAACCCGCCGAGCCAGCTTACGCCACTGCGTTATCGAGCGACAAGGCGCAGATACTGGCCTCCCGTATTCAACAACATCCGCGTCGCACAACAACGGCGATGAGTGAGGTGTCGGGCCTTGCCGGGTGTCTGGTGCGCACCGACTTGCCTGTGCTGGAGGATCTTTCTTTGGAGCGTCCGCTGTCGAGGCCTCCTGCTGGGGCGGACCCGGAACCCGGGCCCAGCATTCCCTGGCATAATGGCCCCGACGGCCGCAGCGGAAGCACTCGACGTCGGAGCGGCGCGCAGCGGGCACCCCGTCCCGACGCGGCCGCACCGGCTGCGGAGCCCGCGGCCCCGGCCCGCTCCGGGCCGGCCACGGAGCAGAGGCAGCCGACAACTCCTTCTGGCCGGTCGCATCCGGCACGTACACGGCCTTTGTAGGGTCCCACCCTACGGCCCCCCCATCGACGACAGGACCGCCCGTCCACGCCGTGACTTGTTTCCAGCGGCGGAGATTGAACTGGGCGTCCAGACACTTGGCCGCGGCCCGGGACGTGAGTTTTTCGTGACCGCACGCCGGCATAGGAATGCCAAGATCTCGGGACAACTCCAACATCTTCCCCAAGATGAGAGGTTCCAGCAGGTCAGGCTCCGTCTCCGGGTAAGCGGCCATAGCGAGTTCCAACACGGCGCCCCTATACGCCACAGGTGACTCCTCAGGTGCGCGTTGCCGTTGCACGAATCGGCGATGGGCGTCATCCGGTGGCTCGTACGCGTCCGCCATTTCGTCGAACACCCCTCGCAGAGTCTTCTTCGCAGCTTTTATGGAGCGAAAAAAACGAACGGACTCATCGTCAAGAAGAGTCGGAAGCACCTCCAGCGCCTCGGCGTCCGTCCACCTCGCTGTACGTCATCATGGCTTGGCTTCGCGAACGAAGATCTAGGAAGGACATCCACGTCTTCTGCAGGCACGCTGGTGGCTGAAGAGGCCTATGCGGGACAAGCAGGTCCTGCCACAACAGCTGCAAGTATAGGTCTCATCTGGGATGGGTGCTGAGGGATCATGGTTCTTCCTCGCTGTACGTACCGCCGCCAAAAATCTACAGGCGAACGCACTCCAATTGCCACCGATGGAGAATTCCTTGACAGTTGTTAGGTGACGACTGCGACTTCTTGGCTTGCTTCCTTCAGCCGCTGCCTCCTCCGGTGGTAAATTCAACAATGCGTCGCAACGCGGTGTCGACAAGATGGCGGGCGACCGTCGCGGCGGTCCCAAAATGGCGGCTTCCCGCTTTCCGTGGTGCGCCACGCCCAAGATGGCGTCTTCACGCCGCGTGGCCGATGGCGGCGCCATCGAAGACGACCCGAGCTCCTGCCGATCACCACCATCACCTTCCAACGCCGCCCTTGGTGTGACAAGGTCACACAACTCTGTGATGACGTTTTTGAGAGTTGCCAGTTGCTCCGCCATCCGGGTCCATCTTAAATCCTCGTCCTTCAACGCAGATGGGTCCGACGAAGCGGCAACCTCCTCGACACCCGGGCCCTCACGGATCTCTCCCTCCGCCGAAGTGAAGCCGACCGCAGGAGGAAGATCTTCGTCGTCCGAAGATGAAGCCGACGCCGGAGATGGAATATTCTTTTTCCTCAATTGTTTCGCCATGCCGTTTCACTTCTGACTCCAGTGTAATAAAAGGACTCAGACACTTCTCTCTCTGCTTCGTGTCCTTTATTGGGTCCTTGTCTTCTCCCACACGGCACTCTGTTATAACACTGTATTTGTAGCCCCCGGCTGTTATCGCTATTATAGCTTCCTTTCTCTCCCCGCAGACTCTCTGCTTCGTCTACTGTAACCTCCGTTCTCTCCCTGCAGACTCGCTGCTGACTCCCTATGCAGACCCCCGCTGCTAACCCTATATGCAGACCCTCTTGGCTGCTACTCTGTATGCAGACCCGCTGCTAACTCTGTATGCAGCCCCGCTGCTGACTGCAGCCTCCTCGCTGCTTCGGGTCGGTCACCGCTGGCCAACGGTGCCGATCCTCGCTCCCCTGTGTTCGTGGCGATCTCGCCACCCTCCGCTTCGCCCTTCGTGGCCTCTCTCGTTCCTGGTCCCCCGTCACTCCCATCTCCTCTTCCGGTTCCCCTCCTTCTATAGCTTAACCCCTCTCTACACCTGTAGTAGACATGGCTCACATGGCGGTGGTGGTGGCGGTGGCGGTGGTGGTGGTGGCGGTGGCGGTGACGGTGGTGGCGGTGACGGTGGTGGTGGTGGCGGTGACGGTGGTGGTGACGGTAACGGTGGTGGTGGTGGTGACGGTGGTGGTGGTGACGGTGTCGGTGGTGGTGGCCCAGGTGGTGTTGGTGGCGGTGGTGGTGGTGGCGGTGGCAGTGACGGTGGTGGTGGTGGTGGTGGTGGTGGCGGTGGTGGTGGTGGTGGTGGTGGTGATGGTGGTGACAGTGGTGATGGTGGTGGCGGTGACGGCGGTGGTGGTGATGGTGACGGTGGTGGTGGTGGTGGTGGTGACGGTGGTGACGGTGACGGTGGTGACGTTGGTGGTGGTGGCGGTGGTGGTGGCGGTGACATTTACGAAGATGAGACTGAGACGAGTGGATGTTGTGTGTTTATATTTGGAGTGTGTGCTGCACGGTTAGGGGGCTACAGGTCATCTCAGTCGACCCGTGGCACCTGCCGGGTCTGCCTCGTGACCTACCCGAAATGAGTCACAAACGGTGACTCACCAGTGACTCACGGCCTACCTGTACCTGTACCCAGCCAGGTACGGGTATCGGGTACCCGGTTGCGACCTCTGCTGTGGGCATTCGACACTTGGCCTGGCCTCAACGTGCACGTAGCCTGGCATAAGCGCCGTAGTGACGTCACCGCCACTTAGTGGTGTGTGTGTGTGTGTGTTGGTGAGTGTACGTGTGTGTGGTGACAGACGATCGGATTGATGGGGGGGGGTGCGCTGAGGAGGGTGACAGGGGAGCGGAGCGAGTGAGACCGATGGTGTTTGACGTCCGGCGAGGGAAGTTTATGCGAGCCTAGAGGTGGGGGGGGGGGGGCTGGGGGGGGGGGGGCTTAGGGGGGGAGAGCGCCGGGCCTGACGCCGGCCGCCTTCCCGGCGCTGTGCGTCCCTCCCGCAGGCCGCGTCGTCACCGTCACCATCGTCACCGCCACCGCCACCGTCACCCTCCGTGTCCACGGGCCTGGGGAGGTCGCGGCCCGTCAAGGTCGCTGCGGAAGGTCACTCTCTCACTCTCTCACTCGCTCTCTCACTCACTCGCTCTCTCGCTCACTCACTCACTCTCTCACTCGCTCGCTCACTCTCTCGCTCACTCACTCGCTCTCTCGCTCGCTCACTCTCTCGCTCGCTCACTCGCTCACTCACTCGCTCATTCTCTCGCTCTCTCACTCGCTCACTCACTCACTCACTCGCTCACTCACTCGCTCACTCGCTCATTCTCTCGCTCTCTCACTCGCTCGCTCACTCTCTCGCTCACTCACTCGCTCTCTCGCTCGCTCACTCTCTCGCTCGCTCACTCGCTCACTCGCTCACTCGCTCATTCTCTCGCTCTCTCACTCGCGCTCTCGCTCACTCACTCGCTCACTCGCTCACTCTCTTGCTCACTCACTCGCTCACTCTCTCGCTCACTCTCTCGCTCACTCACTCTCTCACTCTCTCGCTCACTCTCTCGCTCACTCTCTCGCTCACTCACTCACTCTCTCGCTCACTCACTCTCTCGCTCACTCTCTCGCTCACTCTCTCGCTCACTCACTCACTCTCTCGCTCGCTCACTCTCTCGCTCGCTCACTCGCTCACTCGCTCACTCGCTCATTCTCTCGCTCTCTCACTCGCGCTCTCGCTCACTCGCTCGCTCACTCGCTCACTCTCTTGCTCACTCACTCGCTCACTCTCTCGCTCACTCTCTCGCTCACTCACTCTCTCACTCTCTCGCTCACTCTCTCGCTCACTCTCTCGCTCACTCACTCACTCTCTCGCTCGCTCACTCTCTCGCTCACTCTCTCGCTCACTCTCTCGCTCACTCACTCACTCTCTCGCTCACTCACTCTCTCGCTCACTCTCTCGCTCACTCACTCACTCACTCACTCGCTCGCTCTCTCACTCACTCTCTCTTGCTCTCTCACTCGCTCACTCACTCACTCACTCTCTCACTCTCTCGCTCACTCACTCACTCGCTCACTCACTCGCTCACTCACTCACTCACTCTCTCGCTCGCTCGCTCTCTCTCTCACTCACTCTTTCTTGCTCTCTCACTCTCTCACTCACTCTCTCGCTCGCTCACTCTCTCACTCTCTCGCTCACTCTCTCGCTCTCTCACTCACTCTCTCTTGCTCTCTCACTCACTCACTCTCTCGCTCGCTCACTCTCTCGCTCTCTCTCTCGCTCACTCTCTCGCTCTCTCACTCTCTCGCTCTCTCGCTCGCTCGCTCACTCACTCACTCTCTCGCTCTCTCTCTCGCTCACTCTCTCTCTCTCTCACTCGCTCACTCTCTCACTCTCTCGCTCTCTCTCTCGCTCACTCTCTCGCTCTCTCACTCTCTCGCTCGCTCGCTCACTCTCTCACTCTCTCTCGCTCACTCACTCTCTCACTCACTCACTCTCTCGCTCACTCTCTCGCTCATTCTCTCGCTCACTCACTCTCTCTCTCACTCTCTCTCTCGCTCCCTCTCTCTCTCACTCTCTCTCTCTCTCACTCTCTCGCTCACTCTCTCGCTCACTCACTCACTCTCTCTCTCTCTCACTTTCTCTCTCACTCGCTCGCTCTCTCGCTCTCTTTCTCTCCACTCGCAGGAGGAGCGGAGAAAGCAGAGTTGTCAGCACGTGGGCTGCCGTGGTTCGCCATCATCGTCCTCCCCCTCTTCGTCGTCCTCTCTATTTGGGCGATTCTCTACGCTTGCTCCAAAGAGTCGCAAGAGGAGAGATTTGGAGCAGGAGGAGGAGAGGCGGCTTTGTCGCGAGCGTGGACGCTGACCGTGCGCTGCTGCTGCTGCTGCTGTCCAGAGCCCCGCGCAGCGCAGCCGCTGACCGAGTTGTACGGCCGGTGACGAGGTGGCGGTGGTGCCGACGGCCTGTCGCGGTGACGAGGTGGCGGTGGTGGGGACGGCCTGTCGGGGCCTCAACCACCATCGTCAACGTCATCATCACCATCACCACCATCACCATCATCACCACCACCGTCATCAACATCACAACCATCGTCATCACCATCATCATCACCACCACCATCACCACCATCGTCATCACCACCACCATCATCACCACCACCATCATCACCACCACCGTCATCAACATCACAACCATCATCACCACCACCATCATCATCACCACCACCACCATCACCACCATCATCACCAACACCATCACCACCACCATCATCATCACCACCACCGTCATCAACATCACAACCATCGTCATCACCATCATCATCATCACCATCATCACCACCATCATCATCACCACCACCACCACCATCGTCACCACCATCATCATCACCACCACCGTCATCACCATCACCACCATCATCACCACCATCATCACCATGTGTCTTTTGTGTTTGAGCTCAGATCGAACACGGATCGAGCCTTGACATTCAATTGAATTCACCTGTCCTTGTGTCTGTCCCTGTGTCTGTCCCTGTGTCTGTCCCTGTGTCTGTCCCTGTGTCTGTCCCTGTGTCTGTCTCTGTCCCTGTGTCTGTCTCTGTCCCTGTGTCTGTCTCTGTCCCTGTGTCTGTCCCTGTGTCTGTGTGTTCGAGCACGGATCGAGCTCGGATTGAACTGCGCCATGTTTATTATACTGCTGTTTTATTTGTGCCAACACATATGAACTTTCACGTGTTTATTATACTGCTCTTTTATTTGTGTTAACACGTATGAACTGTCACGTGTTTATTATACTGCTGTTTTATTTGTGCCAACACATATGAACTTTCACGTGTTTATTATACTGCTCTTTTATTTGTGTCAACACGTATGAATTGTCACGTGTTTATTATACTGCTGTCTTGTTTGTGTCAACACGTGTGACCTGTCACGTGTTTATTATACTGCTGTCTTGTTTGTGTCAACACGTGTGACCTGTCACGTGTTTATTATACTGCTGTCTTGTTTGTGTGAACACGTGTGACCTGTCACGTGTTTATTATACTGCTGTCTTGTTTGTGTCAACACGTGTGACCTGTCACGTGTTTATTATACTGCTGTCTTGTTTGTGTGAACACGTGTGACCTGTCACGTGTTTATTATACTGCTGTCTTGTTTGTGTGAACACGTGTGAACTGTCACGTGTTTATTATACTGCTGTCTTGTTTGTGTGAACACGTGTGACCTGTCACGTGTTTATTATACTGCTGTCTTGTTTGTGTGAACACGTGTGGCCTGTCACGTGTTTATTATACTGCTGTCTTGTTTGTGTCAACACGTATGAACTGTCACGTGTTTATTTACCGGCGTCTTATTTGTTGGAGCTCGGATCGAGCTGCGGCGTTTTGAATAAAACATTTTTCAAGTCGACAAACAGCGTCCCCCGTCACGTGATGTCTGGATGGACAAACCGACCCCCTCCCACCTGAGCCTCTCCCCCCTTGACGCCGATTGGCTTTCTTCCGCATTGACAATCGATCATGATCGTTTCATGTCGTTGCAGCAACATTTGTCAGCAACGCCGCCGGGTTTATGCGGCGAAGGCCGTGAGATTCTTTAAAAACTAAACTCTAAACTACATCTTCTTGGTTCTTTCGGTGAAGTCACGTAGAAGGAAAGTAATGAAATAATAAAAATAAAACATAATAAAATAATTCTCACGACGTTTCGGCCACAACGCAAGCAGCCGTCCTCAGGTGAAGAACAGGTCTGTCGGGGAGACAGCGACTGAATGAAACATTCAGACCTGTTCTTCACCTGAGGACGGCTGCTTGCGTTGTGGCCGAAACGTCGTGAGAATTATTTTATTTTGTTTTATTTTTATTATTTCATTATTTCCCTTCTACGTGACTTTACCGAAAGAACCAATATAAACTCAATTTTTTATTTTGATTTAAAGCTTTCGTGACTGCAGGGATTCATCTTCTTGGTTCTTTCGGTAAAGTCACGTAGAAGGGAAATAATAAAACAATAAAAATAAAAAACAAAAACATTTCTCACGACGTTTCGACTGCAACACAAGCAACCAGCACCAGGTGTGAAATCCACAGCAAGTAAATTTGAAAAAAGTGGATTTCACACCTGATGATGATTGCTTGTGTTGCGGTCGAAACGTGAGAATTTTTATTGTTTTATATTTATATTATTTTATTATTTCCCTTCTACGTGACTTTACCGAAAGAACCAAGAATAACTCTACTAACCCCAGAGGGAAAATGGACTGAGTCAATCCCCAATCAGGATTTGAATTTCACGACCTTGAGATTGAGAGCTGATCCCTCTACCGCTGAAGCCTGCATCTGAAGGAAATCACCCATTAATTTCATATGAATGTTCACAAATGAACATAGTAAAAATATCGATTTAAAGCTTTCGTGACTGCAGGGATTCATCTTCTTGGTTCTTTCGGTAAAGTCACGTAGAAGGGAAGTAATAATTTTATTATGTTTTATTTATTTTTATTATTTTATTACTTCCCTTCTACGTGACTTTACCGAAAGAACCAAGAAGAAAAATTCTCAGATAGTTTAGTTAAATAGTTTAATTTAATAATTTAATTTACCTTTTTTCAAAGTTTAATATAATATTCTTGTTTCTTTCGGTAAAGTAACGTAGAAGGGAAACAAAATAATAAAAATATAAAACAATGCAATTCCCACGACGTTTCGACTGCAACACAAGCAATCATCACCACCAGGTGTGACATCGCTGTCCGTGGTGCTGACGTTGAGATAAAACCGCCACTTTCAAATCGTCCTGCCGTGTGTCTGGCGTCGTGAGAGAGAGAGACGGTGAAAGATGACCACACGATGCCCCCAGATATCTTCCATGGTGGGTTGGCAGTCACCTTGACGGGCAATAACCTCGTTCAGTAGTGATACAATAAAAGAATGAGAACACTGGTCAACAACAACAACAAATACATGTTTTTCTGGCCTGGACTTTTGCAGCTGTTCTAGACTAATTTCAGGGTGCCGATTCCAAATCTGATCTCAGATTTGCTCCATCACATCTCATTTTTATGCTATCGGCATACCCCATTTTCATTGATTTTACCCGAAATTAACTCTGTCACTTATGATTGCAAGTTGTTGCGAGTCGGTGACTGCTTTAGTGTTAAAATACGGTGCTGTATTTTAGGGCAGTGTGTTTAAAATATCATTTTATGTAGATATCCACATCTATTTAAGATTTTTCTTCCGCAGTTTTTATTGAAAATGCAATATTTGATATCTCAAAAACTTGATGTGATAGACAAAAACTGATGCCAGATTTGGAATCAGCAGCACCCCAAAATTACCTTAAACCCGTTGGAATACCTTATGCCAGAACAAGTGTGTTGACCAGTGTTATTGTAACAACAATGCAATAGCAATGGTCATCAATGTTACTGATAAGGATACTTTAGTATTATTATGAGGGTTACACCTCCCCCCACCACCTCCATAGAACATGGGTTGACTCACGGGTGACCGCCCGATGTGGTTTGTAAACACGTTCAACGTCGAGGGGGTTGTCGGTTATTGATCTTCTCCAGCACACAATTCGGTGTGTCCTCGGACGTGGTGAAGGAGTTTAAAGTTCTCTTTCTGCTCGCCAGAGTCGGCGATTAGAGACTTGAGTCTCTAAGCACGTGGGAGATTATTTTCACCTAAAAAACAAACACATTCCTGCTGCGGAGGGAGCTGCTAGGAACGTCGGGTTGCTCGCTCAATGGCCTGCAGGGTCAACGGCGGCGTGGTGTATTCCGCAAATATGCCCGACAGTGAGGGCGGGCACAAGCCGGCGTGAGTAGGTTAAACGTTGAGTTTTATAAGGGCACCACGGGGTGACCAGCCCCTCACCACCCACCCCACCCCTCCCACCCCCCACCCAGCCCCACCCTCCCCACCCAGCCCCTCACCACCCAGCCCCACCCCTCCCACCCCCCACCCAGCCCACCCACCCCACCCAGCCCCTTCCAACCCTCCCCACCCCTCCCGCCCCCCACCCAGCCCCACCCTCCCCACCCTGCCCCTCAAACCCCCCACCCAGCCCCTCCCTAGTCCCTCCCCACCCTCCCCACCCAGCCCCTCAAACCCCTCACCCAGCCCCTCCCCACCCTCCCCACCCTGCCCCTCAAACCCCCCACCCAGCCCCTCCCCACCCTCCCCACCCAGCCCCTCCCCACCATCTCCACCCAGCCCCTCCCCACCATCTCCACCCAGCCCCTCCCCACCCAGCCCCTCCCCACCCTCCCCACCCAGCCCCTCCCCACCCTCCCCACCCAGCCCCTCCCCACCCAGCCCCTCCCCACCCTCCCCACCCAGCCCCTCTCCACCCAGCCCCTCCCCACCCAGCCCCTCCCCACCCTCCCCACCCAGCCCCTCCCCACCCTCCCCACCCAGACCCTCTCCACCCAGCCCCTCCCCACCCAGCCCCTCCCCACCCTCCCCACCCAGCCTCTCCCCACCCTCCCCACCCAGCCCCTCCCCACCCAGTCCCTCCCCACCCTCCCCACCCAGCCCCTCCCCACCCAGCCCCACCCAGCCCCTCCCCACCCTCCCCACCCAGCCCCTCCCCACCCAGCCCCACCCAGCCCCTCCCCACCCTCTCCACCCAGCCCTTCCCCACCCAGCCCCACCCAGCCCCTCCCCACCCAGCCCCTCCCCACCCTCCCCACCCAGCCCCTCCCCACCCTCCCCACCCAGCCCCTCTCCACCCAGCCCCTCCCCACCCAGCCCCTCCCCACCCTCCCCACCCAGCCCCTCCCCACCCTCCCCACCCAGCCCCTCCCCACCCAGCCCCTCCCCACCCTCCCCACCCAGCCCCTCCCCACCCTCCCCACCCAGCCCCTCCCCACCCAGCCCCTCCCCACCCTCCCCACCCAGCCCCTCCCCACCCAGCCCCTCCCCACCCTCTCCACCCAGCCCTTCCCCACCCAGCCCCACCCAGCCCCTCCCCACCCAGCCCCTCCCCACCCTCCCCACCCAGCCCCTCCCCACCCTCCCCACCCAGCCTCTCTCCACCCAGCCCCTCCCCACCCAGCCCCTCCCCACCCTCCCACCCAGCCCCTCCCCACCCTCCCCACCCAGCCCCTCCCCACCCAGCCCCCTCCCCACCCTCCCCACCCAGCCCCTCCCCACCCAGCCCCTCCCCACCCTCCCCACCCAGCCCCTCCCCACCCAGCCCCTCCCCACCCTCCCCACCCAGCCCCTCCCCACCCAGCCCCTCCCCACCCTCCCCACCCAGCCCCTCCCCACCCAGCCCCACCCAGCCCCTCCCCACCCTCTCCACCCAGCCCCTCCCCACCCTCCCCACCCAGCCCCTCCCCACCCAGCCCCACCCAGCCCCTCCCCACCCTCTCCACCCAGCCCCTCCCCACCCTCCCCACCCAGCCCCTCCCCACCCAGCCCCTCCCCACCCTCCCCACCCAGCCCCTCCCCACCCTCCCCACCCAGCCCATCCCCACCCAGCCCCACCCAGCCCCTCCCCACCCTACGTCCCCACCCTCCCCACCCAGCCCCTCACCCACCCAGCCCCATCCCACAATCCCCACCCCGCCCCTCCCCACCCAACCCCACCAGCCCCTCCCCCACCCTCTCACCCACCCCTCCACCCTCCCCACCCAGCCCCTCCCCAACCCAGCCCCCCCCGCCCTTCCCACCATCTCCACCCGCCCATCCCATCCTCCCCACCCAGCACCTCCCACCCCAGCCCCCCCCCCCTCCCACCCACCCCGCCCCACCCTCCCACCCAGCCCCTCCCCACCCAGCCCCACCAAGCCAGCCACTTTTCCCCCCCCCCAAAAACCCCCTCACCCCACCCAGCCCCTCCCCCCCTCCCAACCAGCCCCTCCCACCCTCCCCACCCAGCCCCTCCCCACCCTCCCCACCCCGGGCCCCTCCCCACCCTCCCCACCCAGCCCCTCCCCACCCTCCCCACCCAGCCCCTCCCCACCATCCCCACCCAGCCCCTCCCCACCCTCCCCACCCCAGCCCCTCCCCACCCTCCCCACCCAGCCCCTCCCCACCCAGCCCCACCCAGCCCCTCCCCACCCTCCCCACCCAGCCCCTCCCCACCCTCCCCACCCAGCCCCTCCCCACCCTCCCCACCCAGCCCCTCCCCACCATCCCCACCCAGCCCCTCCCCTCCCATATGTGGATGCACACGGACACAACAATCTCCTGCGGGCTGGTGTGAGCAGGAGGTTGCTCGCAGTAAGAATCGCTGCAATGTGTCTGTGTGTGTGTGCGGGGCTCAAGAGCTTCATAGATCATCGGGTTTCCTGCGGCAATGTTCTCATGGAACTTCCTTCATCAGTTCAGCGGCATTGAGCATTCAGGCTTCGCCTAGAACTAGGTTAGTAGGCCTCAAGCCTTCGGCCTAGCGGTTTAAACTTTAATTTGTTTACTCATCTAAGGTGTTTAATAACTTAATTTTACAGAGATCGTTAGATTGGCAGATCTTCAGTCACCCCTTAATCTATAAGTGCTTTTTAAACTAATTTGATGATTCTCACGCCGCAGGCTTCGCCTAGTAACAGGTTAGTAGGCCTCAAGCCTTCGGCCTAGCGGTTTAAACCTTAATTTGTTTATTCACTTAAAGTGTTATTGTTGTTGATTTTGATTTAAATCTTTCGTGACTGCAGGAATTCATATTCTTGGGTTGTTCGGTAAAGTCACGTAGATAGGTTCAAAGAAAATATTATTTTAAATAACACATTTTTTAATAATCTTTTTTGTTATTTTTTAAATAACAAAATTATGTTTTTGTTATTTTGTTTGAAACAAATTTTTCTTTTGTTATTTTAAATAACAAAAAAATGTCTTATTTTAAATAACAATTTTTTTTATTTTCTTTGAAACAAAAATATGTGTTTGTTATTTTGTTTGAAATAAAATTTTATTTTGTTATTATAAATAACTAAAAAAATGTGTTATTTTAAATAAACAAAATTGTTATCTTTTTTGTTATTTAAAAAATGTGTTATTTTCTTTGAATAAAAAATATGTTTTTGTTATTTGAAATAACAAAAAAAGTTATTTTATTTGAACCTATCTACGTGAATTTGCAATGACCTCGTTTAATAATGATAATTATCATGACAGATTAAGAACAATAATGGTAACAACAATGATACTATTTACAATAATGAACAATAAGGATAATAACAAGGATAATTAGAACAATGATAATATTCGTGATGATAGCAATTACACGGATAATGATGATAAGGAATAATCGTGAAAAAGAATGAAAACTATGATATAGATAATACACTTTGGTTTTTTCGGTAAAGTCATGTAGGTCAAACAATAAAAGAAATAAAATAAATGAAAACAACTAAATTAATTTGGTTAATAATTATAACTAATAAATTTAGTTTTTTTTATTTTATGAAAACAACTAAATTAATTAGTTGTTTTCATAAAATAAAATGTTATTTCATGAAAACAACAAATTTAATTATTTTATATAAAATAAAAGAATTAATTTAGTTTTCATAAATAAATAAAAAATTTAGTTTTTATACAATAAATGAAAACAACAAAATTAATAAAGTTGGTTTCATTTATTTTATTAATTTAGTTTTTCATTTATTTACTTTCATTAATTGTTTTACCTACGTGACTTTACCGGAAAAACCGACGAGTATGAATCCCTGCAGTCACGAAAGCTTCAAATCTCGGACGTAGATAATCACAACGAGACGCACAATTATAAGAACGATGCAGATGATGACAACGATTTGGATAATTTCGATTTAAAGCTTTCGTGACTGCAGGGATTCATCTTCTTGGTTCTTTCGGTAAAGTCACGTAGAAGGGAAGTAATAAAATAATAAAAATAAAACATAATAGAATAATATAATAATATAATTATTTTATTCACGTAGAAGGGAAGTAATAAAATAATATAAACAAAACATAATAAAAATATATAATAATATAATTATTTTATTCGCGTAGAAGGGAAGTAAAATAATAAAAATAAAACATAATAAAATAATATAATAATATAAGTAATGAAATAATAAAAATAAAACATAATATAATAATATAATTATTTTATTATGTTTTATTTTTATTATTTTATTACTTCCCTTCTACGTGACTTTACCGAAAGAACCAAGAAGATCTGGATAATGACGACTGACTCATATTTTATTCCTTCCACCCTCCCCGGGGCCTTTTGCTGAACCGGAGAATTTTATTTTAAACAAACCGCCCCTTCCCCCCCCCCCAGGGCAGAGAATGCCGTGAATGTTGAAGCGATGGATCTCCCAGAGGACGTGGAGACTCATCGTCATCATCATCACGGCGGCGGCGGCGCTCACAGCCAGCTCCACGTAGCCCAGCGGAGCGTTGCCCTGCAAGGGCTTGGTGTGGTGGGGGGGGAGGAGGTGGAGGGGGAGGAGGTGGAGGAGGGACAGCAGCTGGAACGTGTCCCGTGGTGGCATGAGTTGGACAAGGTGCTGGAGTGTGTACCGTGTGACGGGTTAGACACCATGGAGTGTGTCCCGTGTGATCAGTTAGACGAGGTGGGGCACGGAGGCGACTGGGAGCTCTCTCCCGTGGAGTTGTTTGGAGTCGAGGCTTTGCCGGGTTCCCACGGAGGGGAGCTCTGGGACGTCGCCTCCTCCACCACCGTGACCTCCTCCAGCGTGACCTCCTCCAGCGTGACCTCCTCCAGCGTGACCTCCAGCGTGACCTCCTCCACCGTGACCTCCACCACCGTGACCTCCAGCGTGACCTCCAGCGTGACCTCCTCCAGCGTGACCTCCAGCGCCACCTCAACTTCCACGGAGTCCATCGACGACGCGACCCACGGAGCAGGAGGAGGAGGAGGCTCCACCTCCTGGACAGAGGTGGATCTCCTCATCTTCTCGCTGCTGGGTGACGCCGGCGCTCCGGGCGACGCGGGCGGGGAGGGGTGGGACGCTGGGCGGGGCGCCCTCCCCCCCCACGTATCGGAGGATGAGGTCGGGGTCGGGGTCGGGTCGGGGTGTGCGGCGCTCCGCCGGTCCGCCCCGGCGCTCCGAGCTCGGAGACTCTCGGCGGCGGCGGCGTCCGTCGGATCGAGCGGAACCCACGCGGCGCGTTCCTTCCCGTCGTCCCGGCGGGGAGCGGCCGCTCGCGATGGGACGGCACGGAGGCTCCCACCGCCTCCTCCTCCCGGCGCCGGCGGCTCTGGGAGGAGTCTGAGCCGCCCAAGGGGATGAACCGGCGAGCCAGGAGCGTCTTCACTCGGTGTATGTGCGGGTGACGGTCGTTTCGATTCAGCCTCAAACGAGTAGCCGGTGTGGGGGCGGTGTGACGGTGTGTAGTAGACCTCGCCGCCAGGGAGACTAAGGCGGTCGGGCGTCGTGCTGGACACACCCAGCCCCTGCTGTGTCGTGCCGCCCGTCATGGGTGCTGCTACTCGCTACTAATAGCACTTGCCCCTACAGTCTGTTAGAGGCTACACGGGGGACCTTTGTCTGTGTGTACTTGCTGCTACTCGCTACTAACAGCACTTGCCCCTACAGTCTGTTACAGGCTACACGGGGGACCTTTGTCTGTGTAGGTGCTGCTACTCGCTACTAACAGCACTTGCCCCTGAGTCTGTTAGAGGCTACACGGCGGGGGAAATTTGTCTTTCTTACCCCGTGGCCCCTGCTACTGGACATCTGTGACGCACAAAGAGCTTGACAGCTTCTCGGATTCTCCCTCCTGCTGTTGCTGCTGCTCCTGCTGCTGCTGCTCCTGCTGCTGCTGCTGCTGCAGCTGCTGCTGCTGCTGCAGTATGGCGACTCTGATTGTGAATTGGCGTGGACAATTCACAATCGATTCAACCGATTCCACCGCCCCTCCCCCCTGCGCTCTGACCAACTCTCCTCCGGCGTGACGTCTCTCGCGACGTCCCGGACGGGACGCGACTTTGACGGCCCCAACCTCCGACGGACGGACGGACGGAGCGCAGCTCAGCGCGCCCGGCTGGAGGAGGCCTTCCTGGGCGAGCCTTACCTGGACCCGCGTGGACGCCTGCTGCTCGCGTTCGCCATCAACATTCCGCCGCAGAAGGTCAAGGTAACTCTCCCGCCACCGTCACCAACCACGTGGCAGAGGTCGCAACCGGGTACCCGGCTACCCGTACCCTGGTGCGGCCGGGTACGGGTAGGCCGTGAGTCACTGGTGAGTCACCGTTTGTCACTCATTTCCCAACGTCTTGTCTCTTCTCACAATTCAAGTTCCTAGAATCAACCCACCCGCGCCTGCAACATGGCTTCATCCCAGAGGTCGCAACCGGGTACCCGGTACCCGTACCCTACCTGATACCCGGCCGGGTACGGTTAGGGTACGGGTACGGCCGGGTACGGCCGGGTACAGGTACGGGTAAGGAATCAAAACCCGTTTGCGACCTCTGCCACGTGGTGGTAACCTCAACGCCAGGGTGGTAGGAGCAGAAGTAGGTGTTGGCTTTAGTGACCGATCTTAGCGGATACGGGGTCGTGTCAGGGTGTTAGACCATCGCTACCGATCTTAGCGGATACGGGGTCGTGTCAGGGTGTTAGACCATCGCTACGGATCTTAGCGGATATGGGGTCGTGTCAGGGCGTTAGACCATCGCTACCGATCTTAGCGGATACAGGGTCGTGTCAGGGTGTTAGACCATCGCTACCGATCTTAGCGGATACGGGGTCGTGTCAGGGTCTTAGACCATCGCTACCGATCTTAGCGGATACGGGGTCGTGTCAGGGTGTTAGACCATCGCTACCGATCTTAGCGGATATGGGGTCGTGTCAGGGTGTTAGACCATCGCTACCGATCTTAGCGGATACGGGGTCGTGTCAGGGTGTTAGACCATCGCTACCGATCTTAGCGGATACGGGGTCGTGTCAGGGTGTTAGACCATCGCTACCGATCTTAGCGGATACAGGGTCGTGTCAGGGTGTTAGACCATCGCTACCGATCTTAGCGGATACGGGGTCGTGTCAGGGTGTTAGACCATCGCTACTGATCTTAGCGAATACGGGGGTGGTCCCCGCAGACACCGACACGCGTAGACCCGGCGCTCGCCGCTGGCTGGTTTTGTTGCTGCGCTCCGTGTGGCTCCTCGTCAAGATTTGGTTCCAAAACCGACGAGCCAAGTTGCAACGGCTGAGGCAGGAAGCGGCGTGGACGATGTACGGCGTCGCCACGGATACCGTCGCCACGGACACCGTCGTCACGGACGTCGTCGCCACGGACGTCGTTGCCACGGACTTCGTCGCCATGGACACCGTCGCCACGGACACCGTCGCCACGGACGTCGTCGCCATGGACACCGTCGCCACGGACACCGTCGCCACGGACGTCGTCGCCATGGACACCGTCGCCACGGACGTCGTCGCCACGGACACCGTCGCCACGGACGTCGTCGCCACGGACACCGTCGCCACGGACGTCGTTGCCACGGATACCGTGGCCACGGACACCATCACCACGGACGCCGTCACCACGTCTACCACCACCACCGTCACCACCACCACGGCCACCACCACCACGGCCACCACCACCACCGTCACCAGCACCACGGCCGCAATGAGACGGTAATTGGCATCGGCTCGCTCTGCAAGTCTGCGGAGAGCGGTGAGCGGTGAGTGGTGAGCGGTGAGCGGTGAGCTGTGAGCTGTGAGCGGTGAGCGGTGAGCGGTGAGTGGTGAGCTGTGAGCGGTGAGCGGTGAGCGGTGAGTGGTGAGCGGTGAGCGGTGAGTGGTGAGCGGTGAGCGGTGAGCTGTGAGCGGTGAGCGGTGAGCGGTGAGCGGTGAGCGGTGAGCTGTGAGTGGTGAGCGGTGAGCGGTGAGTGGTAAGCGGTGAGCGGTGAGCGGTGAGTGGTGAGTGGTGAGCGGTGAGCGGTGAGCGGTGAGCGGTGAGTGGTGAGCGGTGAGTGTCCGCAGAGCGTCCACCTGAGGCTTCATCCATCCCACGTCGGTGAACAGACAAGTTGAGCCTCACAGCTCCGACTCGCCTCACACTCACGGGAGCCACGGTGGCTATGAGACGTTGACTTCCTCGCCTCGGATACAGGAGGTCGTGCGTGCAATCCCAAGCCTGACGATGTCTGCTGCTGCTGCTGTGTATGTGGAGTCTGCGTGTCTAACCACTGTGGCTAGGAGATGTTGACTACCTCACTTGGTCTGCAGGAGGTTGCATAGAGAATCCCCGTGGTCGCGTGGAGTCTTTGTGTATCTCCATGAGTCTATCTGTATCTCCATGAGTTTCTGTGTATCTTTATGAGTCTCTGTATCTCTATGAGTTTCTCTGTATCTCTATGAGTCTATCTCTGAGTCTCTATGAGTCTCTATCTCTATGAGTCTCTATGTATCTCTATGAGTCTCTATGGTACATAGAGATACAGAGACACTCATAGAGATACATAGAGATGCATGGAGACCCTCGGAGACTCGTAGAGGTGCTTGCTGTGCCGTCAGAGCAACGGCCGAACCTCCGCCTCCACATTTACAGACAGCTGCAGCTGCAGCTGCAGCAGCAGCAGCTGTGGCAGCAGCAGCAGCGGCAGCAGCAGCAGCAGGAGCTGCAGCAGCGGCAGCAGCAGCGGCAGCAGCAGGAGCTGCAGCAGCAGCAGCAGCAGCTGCAGCAGCAGCAGGAGCTGCAGCAGCAGCGGCAGCAGCAGGAGCTGGTGGTGGTGGTGGAACGCGAGATCCCCGCGCGCTCCGCCAACCCCTACGTGGGAAGGAGCACCGGCAAGGTGACCAGCGTACTCACTCCTCCTCCTACTCCAGCTACTCAACCTCCTGCTCCACCCCCTCCACCCCCTCCACCCCCTCCACCCCCTCCATCCCCCCCACCCCTCCCACCCCCCACCACCCCCCCCACCCCCCCCACCCCCCACCACCCCCCCCACCCCCCCCACCCCCCACCACCCCCACCACCCCCTCCACCCTCTCCTCCCCCTCCACCCCCCCCCACCCCCTCCACCCCCACCACCCCCACCACCCCCCACCACCCCCCCACCACCCCATGCTCCCCCCCCCCTCACCCCCACAAGGCGTTCCTGCACTGCAGCAGCAACTCAAAGGTAGGAGGTTGAACCGTCGCCGTCACGGTGATGGGGATTATCTGAACGGGACCCGGGCTTCCCCTAGGTCGACTCGGCCTCAAACGAGTGGTTCCCCACCGCCGGTTGGCGGGAACCCGCCGGTCACGACGCTCTCAAGCGCAGACGCTCGCACCGTCCGTGTGGTGGTGGCGGTGGTGACGGTGGTGGTGACGGTGGTGACCACAACCGCGGCTGCTTCGGCTGCTGTTTCTACGAGGAGCCCGTCCTGAAACAGGCCCTGGTCTGTAACGACGTCGCCGCACACGACCGCTCCTTCAACATCGCCGCTGAAGTGAACCACTCGGCGCGGCACGGTGGCCACTACCACCACGGTGGTGGTGGTGGTTGTGGTGGTGGTAGTTGGTATGATGGTGGTGGTAGTTGGTATGATGGTGGTGGTGGTAGTTGGTATGATGGTGGTGGTGGTTGTGGTGGTGGTGGTTGTGGTGGTGGTGTGGTGGTGGTGGTGGTAGTTGGTATGATGGTGGTGGTGGTTAGTATCATGGTGGTGGTAGTTGATATGATGGTGGTGGTGGTAGTTGGTATGATGGTGGTGGTAGTGGTGGTGGTAGTTGGTATGATGGTGGTGGTAGTTGGTATGATGGTGGTGGTGGTAGTTGGTATGATGGTGGTGGTGGTTGTGGTGGTGGTGGTTGTGGTGGTGGTGGTTGTGGTGGTGGTGGTGGTAGTTGGTATGATGGTGGTGGTGGTTAGTATCATGGTGGTGGTAGTTGGTATGATGGTGGTGGTGGTAGTTGGTATGATGGTGGTGGTGGTGGTAGTGGTGGTGGTAGTTGGTATGATGGTGGTGGTGGTTAGTATCATGGTGGTGGTGGTTGAGATTGACGTTCCACAGTGATTTTAAAACCTGTCACGAGTTCTAACTGCCTCGTGATTTACAATTGCATTTACGTACGAATAAGGCGCGCAGGTCCGCACAGTAACTACAACGTTTATTCTCATATTTATTTATTATTAAACTCACGATATTTATACTCTTTGGTTCTTTCGGTAAAGTCACGTCGGTAGAAATCAAATCAAATAAATCACGACGTTTCGATTTGCAACACAAGCAATCGTCATCGGGTGGGAAAACCGCAGCAAGAAATGTGTTTTGCTGAAGTGTGAGGAGGTTATATGGGTGGTGAGAGGAGGGGGGTGGGGGGGTAGGGGAGCGTTGCGTGGACGCTAGGAGAGTGTGCGTGGGACTGCGGCAACATCGCCAGTGACTAGCTGCCAAAGCAGCAGCAATGCCAAACGGCGGGGATGCAATTGACTTGTCAAATATGACTAGTGGCCGTCAAATATGACTAGTGGCCGGCAAATATGATGGAACAACCATGAACAGTTAAGGTTTTACCTGGTTAATAACATCCTTCCAATGGTAATTGTTTTTTTACCCTTTTTATCGATGTTTGTGTAGAGGGAACAGCGGCTTGTGCGCTGCACTATGAACCCAGGAACCTGAGTTTGATGATTATCAGCCATTGCGAGCTACCCTGCGGAGGGTCAAATACTTATTTCCCTCATTAAAATGCAAATCAATTTATAACATTTTTGACATTGCGTTTTTCTGGATTTTGTTGTTATTCTGTCTCTCACTGTTCAAATAAACCTACCTTTAAAATTACAGACTCATCATTTCTTTGTCAGCGGGCAAACGTACACAATCAGCAGGGGATCAAATACTTGTTACCCTCGCTGTAACAAGCTGAGATTAGGAGCACTGCCTGTAAGAGTGTGCTCCTAATCTCAGCTCGTTACCTGTGTAAAAGACACCTGGGAGCCAGAAATCTTCTGATTGAGAGGGGTTCAAATACTTATTTCCCTCATTAAAATGCAAATCAATCTATAAAACTTGTTTTGTTTGTTATTATAAAACTGTGTTTGTTATTGAACATTGAACTGAAGCCGGACTTCAAAACATTCAATCGCAAATCAAATCCCAAATCTGTCACAAAAATCGATATTTGACATTTTCCCCCAAATGCTACTGGGGGGAGGGAGGAGGAGGGGAGGGGAGGGGGGGTCACAAGACATCTAGAACACCGCCCGTGCAAGGAGCGTGCGGCGCTGTTCACCGCGGCCCCTGAGCCCGCGCGCTCCAAGTACAGAGCTGTTCACCGCGGCCCCTCCACCTGCCGCTGGGAAGACGCGGCTCGCCTGAGGCCTGACGCAGGCGGCGGCGGCGGCTTCGCGCGCTTTGGCCTCCTCCTCCTCAACCTCCTCAACCTCCTCCGACTTCTTCCTCCTCGTCGTCGTCGTCCCTGTGGAGGGAGACGCGCGGAGGGAGACGCGGCCAACTCGGCTGACATCTCGCCCGGTGAGTTCCGTGCGTCGGGGAGCGGAGGTGGAGGAGGTGGTGGTGATGATGGTGAGGGTGGTGGTGGTGATGGTGGTGATGGTGGTGGTGGTGATGGTGGTGAGGGTGATGATGGTGATGGTGGTGGTGAGGGTGGTGGTGGTGAGGGTGGTGGTGATGGTGATGGTGATGATGATGGTGGTGGTGAGGGTGGTGGTGGTGGTGATGGTGGTGGTGGTGGTGATGGTGGTGATGGTGAGGGTGGTGGTGGTGGTGATGGTGATGATGATGGTGGTGGTGAGGGTGGTGGTGGTGGTGATGGTGGTGGTGATGGTGGTGGTGGTGAGGGTGATGATGGTGGTGGTGGTGGTGAGGGTGGTGGTGGTGAGGGTGGTGGTGATGGTTGTGGTGGTGATGGTGATGATGGTGGTGGTGAGGGTTGTGGTGTTGGTGGTGGTGATGGTTGTGGTGGTGAGGGTGGTGATGGTGGTGGTGAGGGTTGTGGTGTTGGTGGTGATGATGGTGGTGGTGGTGATGGTGAGGGTGGTGGAAAGACAGCGTCTGACAGACCTGTTCTTCACCTGAGGACGGCTGCTTGCGTTGTGGCCGAAACGTCGTGAGAATTATTTTATTGTTTTATTTTAATTATTTTATTACTTCCCTTATACGTGACTTTACCGAAAGAACCAAGAAGATGAATCCCTGCAGTCACGAAAGAAGCTTTAAATCGAAATTTAGACCCGACATAGGTTTGATATCAAGTCAATGCCAGCAGGTATCTGCTGTGACCTCTACTCGGCTGATTCAGAACTCGCCGTACTACCCGGCTTCGCCCAGGACTCGGATTCACCACACCCGGCCGCCTTTGTCTCCCCAGTGGCGATGTTCACACCACAACAGTTACTCATTAGAGGCTGAGTCGACCTAGGGGAGGCCCGGGAGCGGTGAGCGCGTCGGCGTTACGAACCCGCTCCACTCGCAGTTCCATTCCCGCCACCCACACCAGCGACGATTCTCTGAACCGGTCCCGGGCCTCCCCTAGGTCGACTGGGCCTCGAATGAGTACCTGGTGCGGTGTGTAGAAAACATTTCCACTGGGGAGACAAAGGCGGTCGGGTGTGGTGCTGGCCACCCACCCCCTCGTGTGCCGTGCCGGCCTTCATAGCTGCTGCTACTCGCTAACAGCACTTGCCCCAACAGCCTGTCACAGGCTACACGGGGGATCTTTGTCTTTGTGAGTGTGTCATAGCTGCTGCTACTCGCTAACAGCACTTGCCCCAACAGCCTGCTGAGCCCAGAGCGGCTGTGGGTGTTTGTCTGACGTGCGTGTGTGGAATGAAGGGTGAACGGTGACGCGATGTAGAAGCGTGAGGGTCACCACCCTCCTCCTCCCCCACCTGAGTTGGACTCCCGCGTCTCGCGTCTTGACGGGCGGCGATGCTCACGACGTCTCGCGGATCGTAAGCGAGCAAAGTGGGGGGCTTGTTGGAGTATCGGCAACGGAGGAAGTTGGGGGGGGAGGCGGAGGGGCGGGGAGGAGAGAGACGTCCCCTCGTGCGCCGTGCCGCCTCTCTGGGACCAGCGCAGAGACGGGGGGGAGAACCTACAGGCAAGTGCTGAACCACCATCACCATCACCACAACCATCATCACCACCACCATCACCACCACCATCACCACCATCACCACCACCCCCATCACCACCATCACCACCATCACCACCACCACCATCACCACCACCCCCATCACCACTACTCACCACTACCACCACTACTCACCATTACCACCACTACTCACCACCACCACTACCACTCACCACCGCTCACCACTCACTACTCACTACTCTCCACTCACCAGCACCGGTAACCACCACTCACCACTGCTCACCAGTTCTCACCACCGCTCACCACTCACCACCACCACTCACCACCACCGCTCACCACCACCGCTCACCACTCACCACCACCACTCACCACCACCGCTCACCACCACCGCTCACCACTCACCACCACCACTCACCACCACCGCTCACCACCACCGCTCACCACCACCGCTCACCACCACCGCTCACCACTCGCCACCGTTCCCTATCTCTTAACATTGTCCCATAGACTTTCTGTGGGAACCGGTTCCCTATCACCACTCACCACTCTCACCACTCACTCACTCACCACTCACTCACTCACTCACCACACACTCACTCACCACTCACCACTCATCACTCACCACTCACTCACCACTCACCACTCACTCACCACTCACCACTCACTCACTCACTCACCCACCCACTCACCCACCCACTCACTCACCCACCCACCCACCCACTCACTCACCCACCCACCCACCCACCCACTCACCCACCCACTCACTCACCCACCCACTCACCCACCCACTCACCCACTCACCATCCCACACACCCACTCACTCACCCACTTACCCACTCACTCACTAACTCACTCACTCACCCACTCAGCCACTCACTCTCTCACTCAGCCACTCACCGACTTACCCACCCACTCACCCACTCACCCACTCACTCACCCACCCACCCACTCACTCACTCACCCACTTACCCACCCACTCACCCACTCACCCACCCACTCACTCACCACTCACCCACCCACTCACCCGCTCACCCACCCACTCACCCACTCACGCACTCACTCAGTCACTCACTCACTCACACACTCACTCACTCACCCACTCAGACACTCACCCACTCACTCACTCACACACTCACTCACTCACCCACTCAGACACTCACTCAGTCACTCAGTCACTCACTCACTCACACACTCACTCACCCACTCAGACACTCACTCACCCACTCACTCACTCACTCACCCACTCACTCACTCACTCACTCACCCACTCACTCACTCACTCACCCACCCAATCAGCCACTCAGCTACTCACTCACTCACTCACCCACTCACCCACCCACTCAGCCACTCACTCACCCACCCACTCACCCACTCACTCACCCACTCAGCCACTCACTCACTCACTCACCCACTCACCCACTCACTCACTCACCCACTCACTCACCCACTCAGCCACTCACCCACTCACCTACTCACTCACCCACTCAGCCACTCACCCACTCACCTACTCACTCACCCACTCAGCCACTCAGGCGCTCACAGAATGTTGTTGTTGATGTTGTTGTTGACGATGTTGTTGTTGTTGACGATGTTGTCGTTGTTGTTGACGATGATGATGTTGTTGTTGACGATGATGATGTTGTTGACGATGTTGATAATGTTGTTGACAATGTTGTTGTTGTTGTTGCTGCCGCTGCAGACGCGCGACTGAAACGAGGAGCTGCAGAGCTGCCGTGAGCTCCCCCACAAGACGCTCAAGGTGGTGGTGGTGGTGGTGATGGTGGTGGTGGGGGTGGTGATGGTGGCGGTGGTGGTGCTGATGGTGGTGGTGATGGTGGTGCTGATGGTGGGTGCTGATGGTGGGTGGTGATGGTGGTGGTGACGATGGTGGGGGTGATGGTGGTGGTGGTGATGGTGGTGGTGGTGATGGTGGTGGTGATGGTGGTGGTGGTGATGGTGGTGATGGTGGTGATGATGGTGATGGTGCTGGGGGTGGTGGTGGGGGTGGTGGGGGTGGTGGTGGTGATGGTGGTGGTGATGGTGGGGGTGGTGGGGGTGGTGGTGATGGTGGTGGTGGTGATGACGCAATAGGAGGCTGCGATATTTTGCGGGTTTGCAAAGTCCTGTTGCTTTGTTGTTGGAATTGTTTATTTTTTGTATTATAACTTGATTTATTTGACTTAACGATTGCCCTATGTTTGATTGTTCTATTTCAATTAAAACACTTTCAGAAATACATGTTGGAAGCAATTCATACATTTGAAGTTCTTCACCTTGCATTAGAATATATAGGGCAGTTCATATGTTGATGGTATCATGTGGTAATGCTCCACCGCATGATTTAAATCTATTACAGAGTGAATATTGAACTGAAGCTTGACTTTAAAAAATGTAATCGCAATATCTGTCAGAAAAATCGCAATTGGATATTTTCCCCAAATCGTTTAGCCCTAATGAGAGAGACACAGAGAGAGGGAGACAGTAAGTGAGAGACACAGACAGAGAGAGACACAGAGAGACACACAGTAAGTGAGAGACACAGAGAGACACAGACCGAGAGAGACAGAGAGAGAGAGACACACAGAGAGAGAGACATACAGTAAGTGAGAGACACACAGATACACAGAGAGAGACACAGAGAGAGACACACAGTAAGTGAGAGACACAGAGAGACACAGAGAGAGACACACAGTAAGTGAGAGACACACAGAGAGA